GGATCCAGGGAAGGCTTCTTGAGGAGGGGCCTCACAACGGCCTCCTTAAGGGCCGCAGGAAAGACACCCTCCTGCAAAGAAGCGTTAACAATTCCCTGGAGCCAGGCTCGTGTACCCTCCCGAGCTGCCAGTACCAGCCAGGAGGGGCACGGATCCAACAAACATGTGGTTGCATTCAGCCCTCCCAAGACCCTGTCCAATATCCAGGAGGATAGTGCTTTATAAGCGGATAAATTTATAAGCATCACAAGAGTCTATTCACACTCAGTTAGCTTAGAAATGTGGCATTTTACAAATAAGGTTATCCTTGACATGATCAGCTATACTGCAAAATCATCTTACAGGCGGAATCTGATTATTCCTACCTGTTTCCTCCTAATCCTTCTCTGACTAAGACAGGAATGAAATGGTGCTCTTAACAATGTAACTTAATGATATAATAATATCTGAATGTGTGACAAATAGAGTGCATGTTATCAGTACAATGACTTCTTTGCCTGTCATGGTGACAAGAAGAAATGCATGAATTCTAATCTGTCTCCCTCCTGTTCCTTTATTCCTAAGATAAAGATTTTAAATTTATATTTATATCTCATTTTTTGCCTGTGATAGACCTATAGATATACAAAAAGTTCCCAAGCAATGACTAGATTCACTGAAATATGATGACTACCACTAGAACATTTTGAATGCTCAGACTTTCCTCAGTATCTTTTTCCTCTGCTTTGAAAAAAGCAACCATGTGATCCAAGGAATCAATTATGGCATGTTTATAATATCCCAAAGGTGCTTTCTCACGAGGCAACTGGACCTTCTTTTTTCTCTTCGAAGATGTTTTGCTTCTCATTCAAGAAGCTTCTTCAGCTCTGACTGGATGGCGGGGAATGGAAGGATTTGTATTCCTTGCAGACAGCTGGTCATTTGCATTCTTTTAAAGAGTTGTTGATGCTACCTGGAGGCTTATCTATGTCATCAGAATCACCTGAGTACTGCAAACAGTGGAACTGTTGAAAGGACTGTGTTGTAGACTGAAGATAGATAATGGTCGTTTTCCTCTCCCTCTGTTGAGAGAAGGCTGTTCAGTTTTGACATAGATGGCCTCTTTGACCCCTCTTTCAAACCAGTGGTCCTCTCTGTCCAAAATGTGGACTTTGCTGTCTTTGAAAGAGTGCCCTTTGTCTTTTAAATCCAGATAGACTGCTGAATCAGCAAAATGTCTTCAAAGAGAAAAAAAGAAAGTTGCCTCGTGAAAAAGCACCTTTGGGACAACCGTGACCTGGATGACAGAGAAACTCCATAGACATGTTTCTAAATAACTTGTAACCTAACCAAGTTCCCTTCCTAAACAGCCACAGGGAAAGCATCAATTCTCGTGACACAAGTCTTGTCTACTCCTAAGAATCCAAGTTTCCATAAAGAGATAGTGGTAGTGGATTATAATTTAGATTACAAACCTGTTGTCTAAATGTCATTCTCTTCACCTTTTAATACACAAATAAAACCCTGCCCTCACTTGCTTCCCATTAGAGACAAGAATTCTTGTTGCTAGAATTCCAGAACACTTTGAATTAATCTCCTTCTGATACATTAGACATACATGACAATGGTAGCAGTTATATGTAAAATCTCAGTTGATTTGTGCCATTGTTGTTGCTGATTATGGACTCGAGTGCATATTCAGACATGTCCAAGTCTCAGTCTTAGACATGTCTGAATGTGGTTTCCTTTATTAGTATGCAGGATAAGGTTATTTATTTATACTATACTAACTGCTGGGGGGAGGGAGAGGAGGACCCACCACATACCTGCATCTTCCCTAACCTGCAACAGATACATTATTGCTTTGGAACCCCCAGGTCATGCTGGGCTGTGTTTCTTTCAAGCAAACTTTCTTTCAAACAAACAGGGTTTATATATTTAGCTTCCCTCAAGGACGCAGATTTATGGTTTCCAATCATGCAAGCAGTCTGGTTCTTTTCATGGTGAGATAATAATAGTGACATTTAGAATAATTTCATTTCCTTGCCAGCAGCTGACTCAGCTTGAGGCATTTCACATGCTATGAGGTGAAGGGAGCAAGCCTACTTTTTTGTCAGAAGGACTTTCATGGCCCCCACTCCCTGGCCCAACTTATTTACATTGGCTTGCTTGAAACCAGCCAGTATGGCTGCTGAATCCTCTTAGGTCTACTGGGGAGTCTAATTAAGATGCACTGAACACAAATCATAGATACTTCAATCAACTTTTTATGCTGGCATTCCTATTCTCTAAAGATGTTTGGAAAAATGGATTTTTTTCAATCAGTGCATGCTTCTGGATGGAATGCACATTAATCTGTATCTTAAATAGTCATTAATTAAATGTAGTAATCTGTATCTGAAAGAGTATAAATTCTTTTAAAAGCCGTTGGCTTATTTAATGCTAATGTTAGAAACATATTGTCTGGAATATGATATATGAGATGTTGTTGTTTTGTTTTTTAAAAATGAATCAAATGTCCTGAAAAGTATTCAAAATGACTTGAGAG